AAACAACTGATTGTTTTAAGGAGTAAGCTAAAGAACTAGCATCAGTGTTATAGAAGAAATTTGATTAACTGTGTTCTCTCTGAATAATCTCATTTAGCATTAGTGCCTTAGTGTTAGCATCTGAAGTAGCTGAGGCCTTAGGCCCCAAGAGCTGACCAAGCATAAACTTTTGATAAAACTAATGCTGCTAACAAAGAACTCACTGAATCCAGTGGATAGGAGCGGAATGAAGATAAGGACCAGAGGGGCAATTCCAAGAGAATGAAGTCATTTCAGAAGTCCAGTCCAGCAACAGTGAAAACCAGTAAGAAATCAAGAGACCACTGACCAAAATGAAGAGATTTGATTTGGGGATCCAGCGATGGGTGGTATGGATGTAATTCAGAGGTGTGAATTGGGGTAGGGGTCTCCTATCCTGAGGCACCCAGCTTGAGCTGTAACCCGAGAACTGATAAAATGCCAATTGGAAACCTCCGCTCGGCCTTGGCATTCTCAGTGCGATCCTAGGGTCAGACTCTGTTACAGTGTCCCGTGTGTGCAAATCCATAACAATCAATAAAATTTAGTATTTGCTGGATGTGAGCTTTTCTTAAGCTTAAGAAAAGGGTTTATCTACAGTGATGCAATGTCTTACTGATTTTAGAAAATTAATTTTCAAAGATATTTTTCTTCTTATATCCTTATGCTTGTTTCTCCATAAGCAGCAGGGAGAGAAGACTCATTTTAAAGATACCTTGTATCAGGGAGCAGTTACTCAACCAGAAGAAAAACCTGCTCCATTGCAGGCTGATCAACATCCACTGCTCTTCCCAGTTAACCCCATATTCTACAAGATACCCTCTGCACGGGGTCCAATGTCTCTCAACCCCTCAAGTAAGTTTTGAGGTGTTCATTTTCTAAATACGACAGTATGTCTACAAGCTCTTGCCCCTTTAAAAGTAAAAAAATAAATAAATAAATCCAAAGCTACCATCTTTAATTTGGCACCAGTTTCCCTCAAAATCAGGAGAAAGTACAGTAATGTGCATTGAACTACATACAGTAGCAGAAATGAAAAGTATTATCAGAAGACATTTACCATTCCTATTTAAAACCTTACGAGTGCCGTGCGGGGTCAGCCTCCCTGCAGTACATGCAAGCCCTCAACAGAGATCAGTCTGGAGGGTCAGCTCTTGCTTCACTACAGCCGTTCTGCGTTTCCAAACCACCCCACCAGAGCTCAGAAAGCAAAATCAAAATGCTCTACGAAGTCCTCAGAACGCCTGCACCAGGAAAGGCTGGGCAGAAGGAATTCAGACAAATTCTGCTCACATTTAGTCTAGTGGTTCCAAATGGCTCAAGAAAAAGAAAGGCCCGGTCAGCCATCAATAACAGAAGCACATTCCCTGTCCAGGCCTGTCCTTTGTACTTCAAAAATTGTACCAGAGCTATTAAGAAAAATGACTAACTTTACTGGGAGACAAGGAATAATCGTACGGCAGGAGCGTAGCCGCCTCTACTAGAACAAGCGGCCACCTTTGGCATTTTTGGACCATTTCTGGCACTTCTACACATTCTAATCCTGATTCACAGTTTGCAAGGATCCTTCTCTTCCAATAACCTTGTAGAAGACTTAAGTTAAAAACAAACAAACCAAAACAAACTTCAGGAATGGAAGCCACTTAGAAAACGTAAAGGATTTTAATGACTGAATGAAGAAACTACTAATTATTATATTTAAGTAGCAAACAGGTATTTTGCTATCAAAGCACAAGCTAAAGAATTTAAAGAAGCCACAAACATTAGTAAGCCAAACATACAGAACTTCTGAGTAAGAAGGCATTTTACACATAAGAGTTTATCAACACAAAACTGTTTAATATTTATTAAATGACACAAAATACCTAGATAACAGACTCACTCTCTGAAAGGACATGTATTTACATTATTTACCAACTTAAGAAAGACTCTCTGTACCCATATCAGACTTATGAAACATAAAAAAGGTTCTGCTGCTTTTTGCATCGAAGGATACATGCCCTGTTTGCAAGTCTGCGTAAACTGTAACTTTTTGATGCAGTGAAAAAGCACAATTTTATATTCTGGTAGCCGAGTGAAGAGGCTTCTGAAAAGTAACAGGGTTAGTTTTTGTTTCGCCCCACTCCAGACATACTCTGAAGAACTGTTATACAAAAAGTATATTACATTTTTGAATGCTGCTGTACTCTTACAATTTTAGTGTAACGTTTTAAATAAAATATTCTTCCTACTGTATGAAATCACTAAAAAAGTGGTGTTTGAACATTTCTTCAGATGCACTTTATTTCTTTTAAAGAAAGCATTAGGGCAAATGATATGTCTAGGAAAACCTGAAAGACTGACAAAAAAAAAAAAAAGAGCAGAGACCAAAATATGAAGAACAGCTAAAGCAATTTAACAATTTGCTAGGGTTTTTTTTTATTTATTTACTATTTACTTTGGCACCTTTGTGTAAACTATGGAACAAAACAACGTTTACAACACGTTTGCAATTACAGCATTTAAACAAAATGGTCACTGTTTAAACCAGCCAAGACAAAAAAATAGTCCATTTATGGGTATAAAGATTAAAAAACCTAAAATATATATTTCTAAGAATAAACTGCAATTTCTTATGAACAAGGTGCTATAAACTGCATGCAAGAGTCAAGATTTAAAATGTGTGGCCAAACAGACAAGCTGTGTTATAGCCAGATGAGTTGTGGTCCGAGCCCACTTTAATTTTTTTCTTACAGAGATATATATGGCTCAATAGGCAGGCACATGATCCCAGCAAGAAGTCGCAGAGTTGTACGGCTGGATAATAAATCTTAGCTGCAGCTTTGTCATTAACCAGGAATGAGCAAGACCTTAGCAGAAGAGATGAACAAGTTCCTGGGGAAAACTTGTGAAGATACAAGGAGAAGCCTTCTCCCCTCTCTCTCTCACCCTCCCTCTCAGCCTAGCCCAGGGCTCTCAAAGTCGTCTGTTCTTTGGGTTGCTTTAACTAGATCGCTGCTTCGGGTTTGCCTCAGATCATGGAAGTCTGATGAGATTTGAGGACTTTTTCTATATATTTTCCACATTTGAGTTACTGAAATGGATGGGATAAAAATAAAATAAAACTTCAGACCTTTCCAGATAGTTTGACTGAATGCAACACACTTGTCTAATGGGGGAGGATTTTACCAGAACGGGTATTTTAAACATGTAGTGGTGTTAAATTTATGTGCTACAGACTGAACGGAACCAGTTCAATACTGATATTCACTGTCTTCTGTCTCCCAAAGAGTTAAGTTTTATGCTCCTTCTCCAAAATGCCTTTTAAAAAGGAATCTTTTATTGGCTAAAGATAAAAAATACATACAAGAAAAAGGAGCACTGAATGCAAAATACAGAAGGTTGGAGTTTTTTTGGCTGGGTAATTCTTTCCTCCCCAGGGGATCTGTATTTGAACTAATACTAGAAGATTTGCAGGAGCAGCCTTCAAGTTTCTTACCAGATAACTCTGTTAGTTATTTTTCTTACAGAGGCAAGGGTGGTCCTGGATGTCTACCAGTGGTTATGTTGCAATAGTGTCAAAGGATAAGGTAGGTTTTCTACAGATCACAGAGCTGTATGACAGTTAGTCGAGGGTGATAGCAAATAATTTAGTAGGAGAAAAAACATCTGCTTCATCTGTCAGCTGAGGACTGCATATAAAAGAGTTTGAGAGAAAACACAGCTAGAGAAAATATGGAATTAAACAGATCAAAAAAAGCAGGAAGGATGGGATGCATCACATGCAAAATACACACACACACACACACACACACCCCCCCTCTCTCACACATGCATACCCCTGAATGTGGGATCACAGTGATAAAAGTTGTAGATCATAGAGAGCTAAGTTACACCACTATTAAACAAAAGTACTATCTTGCTTCCAAGAAATATCTCGTATGTCCCAGGACTATCAGTGCCTGAAAGAGGATGAGGTTTTTCATTGTGCTCTGCAACACAGCTGATCATAGGTCTAAATCCTGGCTGGGTAAGGAAGAACTGTTACCTGAAGGAGTTACCTTTTCTGATGACACTTTTTTTTCTCCATATATTCCTGGCACATGCTGCTATAGCAATAAAAAAATGTTGAAACAAAGCTCTACATTCAAGTGACTTATTCTCCCATGTCTTATAAAGATGCAAAGAATGCTCTCTGGTCATCTAAGAAAATATATTTTAGATGCCTTGTAGCAATACCTAACTTTCTATATGAGAGGTAGGCTTCTGGGTTCTAGGAGGCCTGCCACATCTAGGGCTGAGTTCTTAAAGCTTTAAGTTAAAGCAATCCAAAGCAGGGCAGTCTGAGAAGAGCTGCCCTGTCTAAACCTTGAGGTTAGTTCAAGTTTAGAATGTTGCAAAGCAAAACAAGTATTAAAATCCGTTTGTAATTTTTGTTCTTACAGCTGTACCACAAGAACAGTGTGGCTTTTCATAGGTATCTGTAAATAGATTCTCTTTTCTAGAGTATTGCTGCCAAGAGGTGAAGGCCTCCTACCCATGACTAGTAAGAACTGTCACTTTTTCCATTATGGCTGTTTTATGCTTAAAATTCCCAAAGGTGAACACTAAGTCTTCTAGGCAAGCCATATAAATCTAATCTGAACCTGTTTTGTTGTAGCAGTTATTTAAGAATGGTGTTCGTATATACAGTATATATGCCCACACTGCAAACTTTATACATCACTTTATATTGGTACCATTTTGTCTTAATTGTGACGAAGAATATTTCCCATTAGATCAGTAATAAGCATGGCTTGGCCTATTCCCCATTTTGCCTCCCTCAAGGAAAAATCCAAGTGTGGGCATCAACCAAACCAATGGTATGTTACGAACTGAAATGCATTCTGTACAGTAAATGTTAAAAAGTTTGCATGCAGTTTAAGCATTTTAAAGGCTATTTTCTTATATTAATTAACCTTCTGTTTCCATTTAAAAGTGTGAAAGACATCTGTCATATATCAAGGGACTCCTCTTCAGACCCAGAGACAAATGAAATCACAAAGACCAGGTACTTTCTTTCAGCTTTCTGCACATCTTACTAAATAACATGCAAAGAGTTCAACAGCATTCTTCTTAAAATGTAAATAGTACTCTTTAAGTGGGCATGTTAACCACTGAAAGAAGTCCACTCTACTATACCTTTCCATTACATTGCTTTCATTCAATCATCGGTAGTATGAAAAGTCAATTAACAGGATCAACAGGCTAGTTTATCCACTGGCAACTGTGTATGACACCAAGTGTGCAGTAAAACAAAGGCCAACACGTTTATGCAATATAGTTGTACTGATTCGGGTTTTCTTTATCTCTTTCCATATAGTCCCTGTCAATTAAGGATTCTATTCTCTTCTTAAGGTCAGCAGGCTGTAAAATAAAAGAGATACCAGCATTATTACTTTGCAGTCAATGTTTCTTGGTTCTTTCTTTCTACTTAAGGCAAATATTCATACTGTTTAAGATGGCTGAGGAAACAGAACACCTAAATGCAAGAACAGCATACAAAACCACCTAACTTCACAGTTACTGCTAAGACTCCAGTTCTGAAAGCCTTCGGTAATAGGTTTTATTAACTTACTAAAAGCCTGAGGTAATATTCAGATAAATGAATGCAACTGGCACTTTAAAAGTTCCTAAAAGTGAGGTTTTGTCCTTCCTAAGAGTAAAAAGATGCATGTTGTAGACAGAAGCACTGCTTAACTGTTTGAGATGCCAGGGAATATAAAAAGAAACAATGAAGTTTTAGAAGAAGAAAAATCAGTACTACACCTTTACTGGGAATTTAAGCTGGTTGTAGACCTCCGACACAAGCAGGTTATGACTCAGTGTCTTGCGCATCTTCATGATTCGTACAATTGCAGCATCAATCTGGTACTGCCGGTCCTGGAATACTCTCTCTGTAGTGCTTGCCTGTTCCTCTACCTGAAGGATCCATTTAGAAAAGTTTTAAAGAGAATGCTAGGACTGTCAAAACAATTCTTCGTATCTCTAAGGCAACTCTCAGTGTAAGGCAGTAAAATGTCTGCTGTCAAGTATTTGACATAAATCCTTTAGAAATATGAAGACCAATTGTCTTTATAAAGAAACCCAAACCACTTGCACAAGAAATTAAAGTATTTGCACACATTTTACACTGGCTGGCTATCAGGAAAAACTAACTGTGGACTTGTTTCTAGTTCACAAACCATTCAGTAAAGCTCCAGAGAATGATCAAGGGTGAAAAGAACATTCATTAATTGGAACTTCTCTTAAGCAACCTTATTTAGGGACATCTAACGTCACTGGTGTCTAAGTAAGTATGGAAGCATACATTTAAATTTGCACTCTTAGGTCTATGCTGTCACCCAAATTATACACGTAACTTTTACAAAAAAAATCAGCATGTACATTACAACCTAGAGGAAAAAAAACTTGTAAATGAGCAGGCAACAAGATACTTAACCCAAGAATCTAAACCCCAGAGGATTAAAAAGAATATACCGTTTCTTTCATCTGAATTTGGTTGATCTTTATCCTGAAGAGCTTATGTCTGAAATCATCATTACATGTGAATTTATCACCATCTTCCACATCTTTGCCTTTCGGGCTTTTAGTCAGTACTCTGGCTTTGCCACAAGCCAGAGATTGAAGTGTCCTCCTCAGCTCTCCATCCTCTAAAGCAGAAACAAGTTGTTTAGGTTTTCTTTAGTAGGAACACTTGGAAGGAGTCAGCTGTTTTCAATACCAACCTATCCCAGTGGCTTGTTTTATCTCCTCTAAACTGAACTCCTCCCCTTCATTAAACATGAGCAGCACCAGTGTCTGGAACAAGGAGACTTGAAGTTCTTTTTTGCCCTGTCACAAGGGAAATTAACAGACATCACTAGGTTGGTTTTTGTTGTCGCTGCTGTGGTTTTTGAGGTTTTTTTGGTTGTTACTTTTTTGCGTTTTTTTTTTTCCCCTTTTGGAGGTAGGGGTGGTGAGGAACTCTTGTACGTCAATTATTTCACTGAAAGAATGTGATTGTTATTCTTTCATGTTTGGGAATATGAAAGAATAAAAGTTACCGGTCACCTTCTGTTTACTATGATATACAGAATAAACTAGAGGTCAGAAAGTTAGACTATTATATCCAGTGACCAAACTCGCCCAAGATATGCATCAACTTACTCAAGACAAATCTCAAAGAACTCAGTGCTTAAAGTTACAATTCGAAAGACCTTTACATAAAAGTGTAACACAAACATCAGTTTAAGAAACACAGTATTAGGAACTACAAGATCTTTGAAATAACCGAGTTTGATAATACTTGTTTTACCATTAACATTTTTTCAGAAAAACAGAACTGGTAAGCATTCCTATTCCAAGAGGAATTTTCTTGAATTATATTTGTGCTCCTGAAGAAATGCTGAAGTGAAATAATTTGAAGCCCTTTAAAAACAGCTGAGTTCTTGTACAATTGAAACCTTTTCTTTATTTCAGCAGTGAAAAGCTTTCTATAAATACGCTTAATGCTGTCAGATGAAGGTCATCTATGGAACACAGCCTCCCTTTTTTTTTCCCTCTCTAGTATAAGAATTAGTGCCATTTTTAATATGGAAATAAACCCACTGGGTATTTTCCCCAGGCAGTAACCAACGTTTTTTTTTTTTTCTTTTTCCACCAATACAGAAATAGGATGCATCTTCTTAGACTTCAATACATCTATTTCAGAAACTACTGACTCTGGAAATGATAGCAACAGGTCAAAGGTTAAAAGTAATTGCAAAAACAGGGCGAAGTTTTCCATCATAGCAGAAAAAAGCTGCTCAATGTATCCCTAAGGTACAACCCAGACTCGGAATCAGCAAAGAGAAGCAATACACTCACCTCTTTAAATTCTGCTTTTAGTACACAGTGTCCTAGTGTTGACTGCCACTGAAGTTTCCTACCACTGTGTTTGCCTAAATAAAAGGTCTTGAAAATCTCCTGCAGTTTTACCATCTAAAAAAGAAAAAAAAAACCCAAAACACTAAAACACAATTTCTACTTTAAAAGCATCCTTCCCTCCTCCACAATCCAATAAGCCTTAAATAAAGGCTTAGAAAGATGAAGGGAATTGCAAGAAAATAAAACAAACTTTATTTTAAAAAGACACTTCTGCATTTCTTTCTAGAGATTACATGCATATTTAAAAGCAAGCTGCAGTTGATATGAAGACGCATTACTGATAAGCTGATACTTGCTATGGTCCATCTATATTCATTACCTCTGGGGGCAAATGGACCTCCATAGGCACGTAGGTTGGCCAATAACCCATAGTCAGAATATTCACTGTTAGTTCAATGTTGCCAGGTACATTCTGATTTTGCATATACTGCAGAAAAAAACAAAGTAAAAGCAATGTTTATTGAACATATTTCAGGTAGAACTGAAAAGTTAGTTAGAATAGGCATTATGAGAGCAGAGACACGTGACCATATGTGTTTGCTATATAAACTCCGAGTTACATACAAGAAAAGTAAGAAAAAGCATTCTTCTGAAGTTCTAAAGGCACTTCCATACAGGAAGAAAACAGCAAAAGAAGTGTTTTAGCAGGCTGACGTGAAGATGTACCTAGGTATGTGTGAATGGAGGAAAGAACGTTAAAATTTGCTTGTAACTAATGAGCAAAAACTTACAAGGCAGTCCATCAGAATACAGTGTTGTTAAAAGTGTCTTAGAACTGGTGTTAAAATGATTTGTAAGTTTACAATTCTTCTTTTATTACTGTGGGAGTGGTATTTGTTTGTTTTTAAGAAGCTTCTTACTTTTTTTGTTGTTGTTCAGCAAAACGATTAACAAATTCAGTAAAATTTTCAAAAGCACAGACAGCACAGAATTAAGAAATAGATTCTGACTGATTTTCAGTAGAGACTGTTTTCCTAGTTGGGCTTTTGTCCACTCCTTTTGAAAGCAATCACCAAAGTTCTTTTCTCTGTAGTGAAAAAGCATTACAGACAACTGGAATAATTCAAAAGGAGTTTAACTCAATTACAGTAGAAGTGTTTACATCTGAAGACATTCTGCACCCTTGGTAGACTTTATGAGAACAAGTCATTCAAAAAGCAAGTAAATCAAGTGGCCACAGCAGGCCTTCCCACAGTACCTGTTTAAATTGTATCATTATGTCTTTTGAAAGCTCCATATCTTTAAACATTCCTTCAAGTTTGCTGGTGAAAGCAGCTCCACATTCTATAAGAGAGAAAACTTATATCTTAAATTGATCTTGTCTATTTTCAGCACCACAGAGTAGTTATTCTAAAGATCAGAATGTACTCTGAAGCAAGATGACCTATTTCAGTATGTTCTTACATAAAGACCTGGATTCTAATTAGGATACAGAATAAAGCTATAAACAAGAAAAGGGGAAAATGTTTTAATGTGGCAGCTATTTTGCAACCCAATTGTTTTTCCACGTGGATGCGACTGTTCATCCCAGGACTCCACTGGTAACCTATCATTTAGACAACAATTCCAATCCCTATCAGCTGTCTGCCAAACTGTCTCTTGATGGCAGAACAAGATCGAGTTCTAAAAAAAAAAAAAAAAAAATTAAAAAAATCCTACTCTTACCATGCCATCCCATGAAATAGTGAAGACCAGACTAGAAGAATGCTAGCCGGCAGCTTCATGTTTCAGACTTTATATGGAGCAAATAATAAGTCATCCTCAAGTTCTCTAGGCACATCACTGATATATTCA